TACCATAATTGATCCGCGATGGCCGAACCGGTAATGCCAAACTATGAAGGTAATATCATACCTTTTTTATTTTCAATAGCATGAATCATTGTAATATTTGTATAGTACAATCCGGAGGACAATACAAGTAATTTTTCCAAAAAACTTTTCTTATCCAATATCATTTTTGTAATGTTGAGATAATTTTTATTACCATCATTAGTTGTTTCAATATGATATCCGTTGGACCGGATATCCTTAAAACTTAATAAATTTCTTGGTGATTTTGATGAAAATAATGCATCTCCAATTGTAATTATTATCACTTGTGGTAATACTATATTCACTCTTCCAGAGCCTCCAATCTTGGTGATTTAGGTGAAAATAATGCATCACTAATTTGTAATTAGTGTCCCTTGTTGTAATATTATATTCGCTCTTCTGGAGCCTTTAATCATTTTTGCATTACCTGTTATTATATTAACATTTGCTTATCTAATTGATAAGTAAGCAAAATACTTTTCCTTATTAAAAATGTTATGTGTTATTGCATTGTCTGCAAGAAATATATCTTCATTATTTCTTTTGCGAATATCCATGTTTCTTTTCAATAAATAAATAAAACATAAGAAACATTTGACTTAGAGAAATAAATTCATATTCTATTAATTTGGGAAGATTGTGACGACATTATTTCTCATGAAACGAATATGACATAAAAACATAATAAATGTCATGAAACAAAACTACACATTATTTTGATCAATCACCATCCATATCACCACTTGTCCCTTCTGGGTAGACAAGAAAATCGGCAACATCCAAATATGTCATTTCTGGTTGATCTTCATGAATATCACTTTGAATAAAAAAAAATTTTGATATTTTATCTTTCTTTAGATTTTAGATAAGTTTGATAATGATCAAAAAAATTCTTTGGTAAGCGGTATGTACAAGACCAATGATTGGTCATTCCACATCAGTGATAAACATTTTCAACTTTTTTTTTTGCCTTGATCACTTTTATCATTAGGATGTGGATTTTTGCTATTTTCCAAATTCTGGTGGTTACTTGTAATCTTGTTATTTTTATGATAATTATGATAACCTCCATGACCTCGGTTAAACCCATGACTATTCTGATTATATGATGTTGCATTCACTTCAGGGAATGCACTAGAACCGGTCACGATTAATTGTTGATTTTTCATCAATAACTCATTGTCTTGTTTAGACACAAGTAGATATGAGATTAATTCATATTTATTTTAAACTTTTCTCATGATATTGCTACTGCAGGAGCATGTTAGTATTATGAAAACTAGAGAGTTTTTTCTAGCATTGTTTTCCATAATGAAAATAAAAATCAAAATAAAGACTTATATGTTAAGCAATTGTTACTTAAGAAATTTCATAAAATAAGTTGTAAGCATTGTACATGTAAAATTATAAAAAATATATACCTGAAAATTACAAGAACAATAAGGAGTTAGAGCTCTATGGTAGAGTCGTGCTGATAACGTGTTATAAAATATGATCAAATAACAAGATAAATTATAAAGTAAAGAAAGACAAGAGAGTAGAGAGAACTTTTATTCCAATACTTGTGATTAAATCATCAAACTTTACAATACATAATATTCACTATTTATACTAAACAAAGAAGATGAAAGGTCATGTATGATATGAATGCACATTATAGTGGTGCATAACTACACTCATAAAACTCATAATAATGTTTGTTATAATGTTCACTAATTATGGAGAGTAATGGGGGAGATGGAGAATCCAATAGTCATTCACTAAATAATAATTCATAACATATATATAAATATATATATATATATATATATATATATATATATATATATATATATATATATATATTTCTTCAAGTGACCTAGTTTGTTACAATTCCAATAAACCACTTTAGCCTTCTTGTTAGAAGACTTATCATCCTTTCCTTTAAACTTCTTTTTCCATTAGACTTCTGTTGATTCTTTGATCCTTCTCCATCCACCATGCTCATAGAAGAGGAACCAACTTGGTTCTTGCCTTTGGGATTGTTATCAAGTTCTTGAGTTATTAAGGACTCTTCAATCTGTAAATGGCTTCCAAGTTGAGTCAAAGTCAATTCCTTTTCGTTACGTTTCAGATTATGTTTTAAAATCCTTCCAGGAAGGGGGCAATTAGTTAATGATCACAACCATATAAATAGCTTCATCCATTTTCAGATTTTGTTGAGCAAACTGTCCCAGGATCCTTAGCATTTCATTGAAATTATTCTATAATAGGCCCAGAGTCAACATCATGTAACCCGTAAAGTTATCAACCAGAAAATTCTTACTAGAAGCATCTTCAATTATGTAGTTGGATTCAAAAGAATCCCACAAATCTTTTGCAGGTTCGATATTTTGATAGATATCAAAAAGTGAGTTAGAAATCCCATTGAGAATATGACCACGATATATGTAGTTAGCATTATCCCACTTTGATCTCCTCCTTGTTTCATCCAAAGTTTTATCTTCAGCAAATTCTGACATGGGTGTACTCAGAATATACACCACTTTCAGAGTGGTCAAGAGGAACTTTATCTTCTTTAGCCATCTACAAAACTCTTGGCCTTCAAACTTCACCAACTTACCAAACTTGCTTGTTATTTCCTTCATAGAATCGCCACTTTCCATGTTCACAAAAATATTTTAATCTTTGTTAGAAATTTAGGGCATAGAAAGGCTTGGAAATTCTGAAAACTGTGACATCACTTTCAGATTAAGGTATTTGGGTGATACTCCCAATCTTTAATCGGATAAGACTCATAATATATATATATATATATATATATATATATATATATATATATAAACTAGTCTAGTTATATTCCATGTATGTCTTTTATCTAAACTTGAACCCAGAAAAACCTTTTAGACAAAATTCTAAGAATAGTCCCTCTGGTTAGGTTAATATTGTCACTTTTGTCCAAATAGATTTGGAGTAACACCATCATTTTCACTACCACCTGTTCAAGCAAGAAACACAATCACCACCGAGACAACCTTCCACCAAAATTTGTTGTATGTCGATGTTGCGACTGCGAAACCCTAATCGGAGTTAGAAGCACAAACAAAATCACCGCCACCAACATTGATCCACAGTCTGCCATTTTCGGTATCAAACTTGACCTTGAAGATGAAGGGAACTTGATTCTCAGATTTGCAACGAGTGAAACGTTAAGCATTGAGGGTTTATGCAAATTTATGTTGTTTTCTTCTCCTACGAGAGAGAGAGAGAGAGAGAGAGAGAGAGAGAGAAAGAAAGAAAGAAAGAGACAGAGAGAGAGAGAGAGATGGTATTTTATTTTTAATTATTTTTAATTGTTGTAATAAAATGAAATAACAAATTAAATAATAAAGGGCAAAATTGTCTTTATAAAAAAAATTCAAACCAAATTGGAACAAACTCACAAAAAAATGAAACCTTTGGACCTCTGTTACTAATCTAAACATATTTAGACCAAAGTGACAATTTTCATAAAGCCACAAATAACATTCTTACAGTTTTGTCAAAACCTTTGGTAACTAATTTTATAGGGATAATAAGTTAAAAGGGTAATATATTTTTCGTTTGTACATATTTGGTCAGTAATTTTTTTGTCTACATTTACCCCTTTAACTTGTTAAATTATACACATTTAGTCCTTATGACCGGCTACTCTAGATTTACCGGTAAAATGACTTAATATGGTAATATATTTTTCACTTTGTATATATTTAGTCTTTAATATTTTGGTACACATCTAGTCCTTTATATATATATATATATATATATATATATATATATATATATATATATATATATATATATATATATATATATATATATATATATATATATATTGCAAAATAAGTTATTTTTTATACTCATTTAGTATATATGGATGATTTTTTTTTGGTTTTTATCACGAAATCTTATGTGGGGTAATCATTAATGAGATATTTGTGGCTTCTGATGCTTATGTCTGTCATGATCTCGACTACTTGGTTGTTTAGTTCATTTGTTCTGAACATCATAACTTCTTCATACAATCTTAGATTTTAATGATCTTTATATCCACGCGTTTGTATTTTAGTCTACTACAACTTTCGTTTAAATTACTCCTATTAAAAAATAATATATTTTTACTTACGATTAGTATATCCATACTTTTTTTATGAATGCGTGTATGGATGTTTTTTTATAAAATGCTAGGTAAAAATATATTACGTTTTACCAAAGATCTTTGGTCTTGTGGTAAGGAGTGACTCTCTTAAATGAGAGGTTATGGGTTCAGATTTCTTAGGAGACATATGTGATATTTAGGAGTAGATTAGCTAGTTTTAACGTTTCAAAAGTATATATTACATTTTAAATAGAGTAATCTTAACAGAAGTTGTAGTAGACTCAAAAAACGAACACGTGGATATAAAGATCATTAAATATGATATTATATGAAGAAGTTACGACGTTCAAAATACAAAAACATAAGTCAAACCATAAGGTTACATAACCAAGCAGTCGAGATCGCAATTGACATAAACATTAATAGCCCCAAACACCTCTTCGATGATTGTCTCTTGTAAAGATGTCGTGAGAAAACCTAAAGAAAGTTTTGATACGTATTAAATGAGTACCAAAAAAAAAAAAAAAATCTTATTTTGAAACAAAAAAATATTAAAAACTAAATGTATACAAAAATAATAAGGATTAAATGTGTACAAAATGAAAAAATATATTACTCTATTAAGTCATTTTCCCAAATATCTGAACTAACCGGACATAAAAACTGAATGTATACAATTTAACAAATTAAAAGATAATATAAAAATAAAAATAAAACTTAATGATCAAATATATACCAATAAAAAATATATTAATGGTTTAAGTCGCTATCATTAATTTTATATAAAAAACATTTTATATATTACACATACTGACATAACTGCTACCGTACTTCCGTAAATTTATTATTTAATAGTTCTAATGTTGAGCTAATTTTGTCTTTCACCCGTACACCCCTCTGATCTCAATCCCTATCTTTCTCCCACTCCAATCTCCCCTCCCTTTAAATTAACCACAATCTCTCCTCTTTAGTTTCATTCAACGCACAAGCTCTCTCTCTCTCTCTCTCTCTCTCTCTCTCTCTCTCTCTCTCTCTCTCTCTCTCTCTCTCTCAAGTTTTGGGTGTGTTCAATCTTGAAATCTGCTGTGTTGCTTGTGCAGTCATACATAGAGATAGTAGCATTTATATCTATATATACACGATCATGGTTGATTGTGAGCTTGGGATAATGAAAGTTGACTTTTCAAAGCCAAAAAGAAAGCGTTTTGGAAGAAGCAATTCACAAGGAGAAGGAGAAATCCGGATGCATCAAGTTGTGGATTTTAGTGGATTGTCTCTCGACACTCTTCCTTTAACTACTAATATCAATTTTGGGCTTGTCTATAAATTGGATATTTCCAACAACAACCTTCAGGTACCCTTTTTAGTTCACCTTTTTTATTTTATCTTTTTTCACATTTATAGATTACATAGAGTTTTCTGCTATTTACTATATGTAATTTACAAAATTATATATATATATATATATATATATATATATATATATATATATATATATATATATATATATATATATATATATATGTGTGTGTGTGTGTTTTGGCAAAATAAGTGAATGAATCATCAAATGATATAAAAATAAACATAATTTAGAAAAAATTGGTCAGAAAAACATATGGATAAATCATTTTTTTGTGGCTCAAGGGATGTTTCTAACAATTTTATTGAATACTCCAAAAAAAAATGAATCACCGAACTTAGGGAGAAGTTTTCTATGAATAATTTTATTTTTGTATCATCTAATCATGTTAATAAAAAAAACATCCATTTGAGTCATTTCTCAAGATTTCTTACATAAATTTTGTTTAGAGAGAGAGATTTAAATTATGTATGTATATTTATTTTTTGAGAGAGAGAGAGAGAGAGAGAGAGAGAGAGAGAGAGAGAGAGAGAGAGAGAGAGAGAGAGAGAGAGAGAGAGAGAGAGAGAGAGAGAGAGAGAGAGAGAGATTTAAATTATGTATGTATATATTTATTTTTTAATGCATTAAAGTCTACTTTTCAAACAATATATTTAAGTGTTGGTGTCAGAAATAAAATTATTACATTTGACATAAAATTTCCAATATTATATTTATCTGGCCTCCATGTTGATGTAAATATATAATACCAATAAGTTGACTTTTTGTTGCAAGTATAAAGGTTATCACTTATAATATTTGCCTCTGATAAATAAATAAAACTTATGATATTGGATGGTGTATTTACAGCTAATTCCAGAGTCATTAACAGCAAGGCTACTAAATATAGAGGTATTAGATGTACATTCGAATCAACTTAAAACACTCCCAAATTCAATTGGTTGTTTGTCAAAACTCAAGACCCTCAACATATCAGGAAACCAACTTCAGTCCCTCCCAATCACCATTGAGAATTGCAGGTTACTCATCGGGAAAACTTTTCTTTAGTGTAATCTTACAATACGAATGATTTGTCGAACTCGTTTTTATGCTTACATTTTTCTGGCAAATTGCAGAGCATTAGAAGATATAAACGCAAATTTCAACCAATTGACCAAATTACCAGACACCATTGGATTTGAACTCGTCAACCTAAAGAAGCTATCAATTAACTCGAACAAGTTAACCTTCCTTCCATCATCAACCTCCCACTTAACCAATCTCCGCCACCTTGATGCCCGTCTGAACCACCTTCGCTCCCTCCCTGATGACCTTGAAAACCTAATCAACCTTGAGATTCTGAATATCAGTCAAAACTTCCAATACCTTGACGCTTTACCCTACTCCTTAGGTGTCCTCATCTCCCTCGTAGAATTGGACATCAGTTACAACAAGATTAGCATCTTGCCAGACTCCATGGGTTGCCTGAAAAGTCTCCGGAAGCTCAACGTTGAAGGAAACCCTTTGGTGTGTCCACCACCCGAGGTGGTGGAGCTAGGGTTAGATAAGATAAAACAGTACTTGAGCGAGAAGATGAATGGAGCCCATCAGCACTCTTCAAAGAAAAGGTCTTGGTTCGTAAAACTAAAGAAATATGGCACCTTTAATTCCTCTCGTATGACGCAAGTAGAGAGAGAAGGGTATATGACGCCTGGTTATCGTACGATTGATGGACTTCCTTCACTTAGGAGCATGGACATGGGCATGTTCTCGCCTCTACGAATTTTCTCGCCAAAAAATTATTTTACCAGATAATTAAGGTTATGAGGCCATCGGTTGTTTTAATTTTAGTGCTCAAATTAATATCATCGGAGTAGTAACTTTAATTAAGTCTTTTTAGTCAGGTGGTTAAACGATCTTGCATGCACATAAATAAGGTCTTAGATTCAGTTTCCTGCACCGTTATTTTAACTATGGGGATATTGTGAGTTAGGTTTCACATTATTGTTGTGATACTGGTTGGTAGAGTTTGTCAAGAGTGGTGTGGAGTTTTTTCTCATTGATTTATCTTTGAAAGTTTTGTAAATTGTAATTTGAAATCATGTACATTTATTAGGTGTGGAGCTTTCTTTTCAGCGTTGTATCTTTGATTGTAGTATAATAAACATTTCAGTATTTCACTCTAACACAATGAGGGGAAATTTTAGATGGCAAAATCCGTCGCCTTTCCGTTGGAAAACTCTATTATCGAAAATCGGTGGCCTTTCCGTTGGTAAAATACCATTAAAATTCATATTATTCTTATATAAAATACAGGAAAAAAAATTGATACAAGGAACACCAAATCCAACAACCACAAATAATAAATATAAATCTAAAAACTATCTCATACATTCTCCACAACATAATAAATATAAATCATAAAAAAAAAATAAAAAAAAAAAAATAAAAAAAAAAAAAAAATCTATGTGACACCTGTTTTCATAAAAGATATTATGATGAGAATATCGTTACAATACACAGACAATAAATAGATATTCTACACGGTTTGTATAATTAATTAGTCTGGTGATAGTAGTCTATTGTGATTAGAAAGAGAGTTTAGTTAAAGTTAAATGGCATGAAAAAAAAAATGTGGCGCGTAAGATACTAGTATGCGACGCGTATGATCAAAGTCAATAAAGTCAACTAAAGTGACAATGGTCGTGACGCGTCCATGACGGTGGTGCAACGTGTCGACAGGTGTGAGTCATCGGACACATGAAGCAAATTTAGAGCCCGACACGTGGGATGCGACGCATCCTAGGGTTTAACGCGACACGAATGCAGCTTTTCAGCCTAGTATAAGTAGTTCAAAAAGGGCTTCCAATGGTTTCTTTAGAGTATCGAAACCAATATCGGTAAGCGAGGATTTCGACTTAGAGATAAAGTTCGTGAGGTCGGGTTGTGAGGGTACGACTATTATATGAGCTAGGTATCCACATAGTTATTTCGTTAGTATGTAATTATGTTTACGTAAGATGAGTCATGAAGGGTTGTTTAAAACTCAAGATGGTATTGGACTTCATGATACAATGTTGTTATGAAGTCAATTGTAAGGTTGACAGAGTTTCTGTGGCAGAACTCTTAATTTCGCTAGCAAGGATTATAAACCCTAAATTACAAAACAATCAATTATGTGAGACATGGCTAAAGGCTTATGTGGTTAAGTTCTTTAACAACTATATTATAATGTTTGATGAGTTTGGTAACAAATGGTTTTCTGGTTTAGTTAGTGGTTAGATAATTAATCATTGAGGTTGATATAATGGTGAGTTTACACAAGTTCTAATGAACTTGATATGTTATCCGAATACGAGTCAATAGAGGACTTGGTATCTCCAATGTTATACTTTTATGTTGATATTGGAAACAAATGATAGTCTTGGGGACTGTAATACCATCTCTTGGGAGATTCAAGTTAATGGTAGACATGGTGTTAGTAATATGTCTTAGTTGTATGTTGATATTGGAAAGAGTTGGTAGTCTTGGTGATAGTAATATCATCTCTTAGGAATACAAATTAATAGCATACTTGGTGTATGTAATGTTATACTTGCAAATAAATATGTTGTAGTGGAAGCTTGGGTGGCTATAATGCCAATGGAGAAATGATAGTTAGATAAGGTGGTAGTCTATGTAGTTGTAATACCACTTGGAATTTTATTGATTTACTTATGTATTGATATATTTAGTTTTGTAACTAATTTATATATAGTTGTGATGGGTTAGTCACTAAGCTCATTGTAGCTTATCCTTTTGTTGTGAGTGCCTTTAGGTTCAGGTAGCTAGACTCGATATAAAGGTGTGAAGTTAGTAGCACCGACTTGGATACTTACACGAAAATATTGTAAGATCCTTTTGGTAACTTTTTGTATTGATTTGTTAATACAAATGTAAAATAGATTTATTATGATTTATGATTTAAAAACAAAATTTTTTTGGGTGTACTTTGTATTAAAAGTCACATATAGGCAAAATGAACATTACATTCAAATATCAACATATTTATATACCTTTATCCATTATAGCAATATAATTTATTTTTATCCATACTATACTAACAATGAAATTTACATTTTCATCCGTAATAGCAATGTATTATACCTTTCTTTTTACCAATATAGGAATTGTACTTCTACTTTTATCCATAATAGCAACTTACTATCTTTAGATATATAATATAATTATTTTTTACTTTTATCATCAAAAATAAAAACACATTTATTGTGTATGCATAATAGTAATATACTTTATTTTTATACATAATAACAACATACAATACTCTTTGTATTTTTATAGACAACATATTTGTAATGCCCGTTTTGAAAAACTTTTGATATTATATGTGAATTCGAGTATGACACGATCAATATGTGTTTTCTTAAGTTTAAAGAAGTTTTGTAGGATAAAAGTATCAATAACTATAATTATACAGGATCAATATGTGTTTTATAAGTCTGCAGCATGGTCCCGAGAATGGTAATTTTAGCTACGTAAGTTGAACAGTAGAGGCAATGTACTTTGAGAAAACCGCAACATGGAATGAGTATCACGACGTGGCTCAAAGTAGATTGCCTCATAATAATTATGACGACTTAAGGCATGATGAAATCAAAGTGCCACAAAAGATGTCCACCACGACGGGGTAAGAAATGTACCGCTGCTCGGTTACGATATTTGATAAAAAAAAATGATATGTAAACAGACAATTTCGACAAAAAACACACTTTAAGGTGCGATTTCACACACTTAAGCCCAAAATGTATGATTATTGATGAGTGTTAATTACATATTGAAGCTTTAATTTGGGTGGATCTCTTCAGCCCTTAGCAAGCTTATCTACCAAGATGACTTTCAAGCGAACACGTTAACAACGACTTTTGTTGATTGGCCTTGTAATCGGTTATAACTCGACGATTTCCTTCTTTTTGCATGTAACTTTCCACTTTAATAGGGTCAGAGATACAAAAATTACTTTAAGGGTCTTTAAAACCAAACCAAAAATTTTATTGTGTTTTCATGTGATTAACCCGGAGATGTTAGATAGAGAGAGAAAGGGGAGGGGGTAATGCACATACAATGGGAGCTCTAGACAACGAGATCTCCGAATTTGAGATGGGAGAGATGCGTATTCGGTCAGAAAAACTGGGATTACAAGGGAGAAGGTTTTCGGCATTCACCAGAGCCATCTTTAAGGCGTCGACAAGAACTGGAGTACCATGGTTAGGGTTTTTAGTTTTTACATTTTAGCTGTTATCTCTATTATTTGTGGTTTTTTGTAAAAGTTTAGATAAATAACAATTTGTGCGCTTTTTTGCATCCGAGAAGTTTAAATGATGATTATGATTTGTAAAGTTTTTGTTTTTAGATTTAGATTACTAATTGTTTTTTTTATAAGTTTTATTGGGTTAAAATACCTTTAACAGTTTACTCTTAAAATCTGTAAGTGTCATCTTATATTTTTTTTATTTTTTTATTTTATATAAATCATATTTAATAGTAGATCTATCTTGTTCTTAATCAAAAAAGTTGGGTGGTGGTGGGGGGAGCCCCCCCCCCCCCCCACCCACCTGTGGCAACCCCTTAGTAGCTCTGCCACTAAATTTGGTGATCGTCTTTTGCGAGGTAGACACTAAATGCTTATACATACAACAAGTTTGAGTCATTCTTATTCATTATCGATTTGACGAATCAATGTTAGTGATAAGGGGTGAGTTATATCGCTATAATTTTATTGTGCTGATATGAAGCAACAACTTAACACCTATTATGAAGTTGTGCAAGAAGATGGCAGTAGATTTGCTAACTTGAATAGTACGACCTTGGTAAGTGATTGTAGAAGCAAGAAAACATGTATTACTTCGTCTATTAGAGATCCAGGAGGAATATAAGTTTGTGATTCTACTTAATCACTTTATTGCCGATCACAATTCACAGTTCACAGAAGAGATTATAATGTAATGAAAGTCTTGTAATTGTAATTGTTTGGTTGCAATACGACAAATATATATATTTACATTTTAGATCCCTAAACTATGGAGGGTCTTACACTTTATATCACATCCTATCGATACTGTTTTAATACAAACGACAAATACAAATAATTCTACCGACACTTTACATAATTAAAAATATAATAATCAATTCCACATTGAAAGGACAGGTGTCTTCAATAATGTCTTTTTACGTCATTGTTTGCGTCATTCTCATTCGGATTATTATATTTTTAATTATGTAAAATGTCGGTAGAATTATTTGTATTTGTCGTTTGTATTAAAATAATGTCGGTAGGATGTGATATAAAGTGTAAGACCCTCCATAGTCTAGGGGTCTAAAATGTAAATATATATTTGTCGTATTGCAATCAAACGATTGCAACAATAATTGTAATCGGCTCTCTTGAGCCTATAAATAGGGACTTCATCCATATGAAATAAACAAGCTAAGTTTGAGTGTTTAAGACTTGAGTTGATCTCAAAGTTCTTCCTCTGTTGAAATAGTTTGTCTATTTCTGAATAGCAGAGCCCTATCCAAACTATCCACATAATTATTCAATTATTCAACATAATCCATCATCAAGACAATCCAACGCATCATTCAAGTATAATCTTATCCTAATATTTATTTATCCGATATGTTACAAAATTTGGTATCAGAGCTAAGTAACGTTCTTACTATTATTATTTTGATTATTAAATCTTTCGTTCATATGAATATATGTTCATCATGCATCATCATATATATTCTTATAAATATTCATCGTTACAAACATTCATCGTTATAAGTTATTATCATAAACTCATTATTAAAATCAAATACTACTATCCACCTACAATTTAAATATATGTCGGTAGAAGGTTTTTTACAATTATGACTATGTGCCAAGAAGTTAGAAACACATTTCATATGTCAAAAAAGTTTTTAATTCTCTGACTGCATCATAAATATAATAGTACTAAAAAAATCCCACCACCAACATCTTATTAGAATTTATAAATCCTAACTTTGAAAGAAAAAATAAATTATCATTTTGTTTCTAAAAATTATAATCATGAGTTTTTCAAGTTTAAATATTAAAAATAAAAAATCTTGAAAATAAAATAACAAGAATAATTTATTAAATACACCAATCATTATTAATAACGAAGAAAATGAATAGGGGTACACCTTTGATGCTCTAATTAATAAAAATAATATTAATAAAGATGCTATAAGAAAATCAAATTTTACACTATCTGAAAAACATAATTTTAGATATAACTCATTAAAAAAAATTTCTAGAAAAAATATTATATATTATGGAAAAATTGTAGGAGAAGAACCAATACCTATGGAATCTACTCAAGAAAATATTATTATACCTATATTAAATAAACAACAAATTAGAAACAAACTATCTAATATTAAAGAAATAGATATAACAAAAATCGTTTATATTCATATATCAACTATTCAAATAATTTTAAAAAGTACTTTTAGCGATTTAAACACACCAATAGAATTAGAAATTAGAGATGATCGTATAATTAATAATCAAGAAAGTATTATTACAAAAAGAAAAGGAAATTTAATTGAAGGAAAAATAAAAATTGATATTAATATATAACAAGGATTAAGTCTAAAAGATAAAAATTTAAGTAATAATATTAGTGTATGATATAAATTATTAAGACAAAATTTTATGTTAAAAGGGAATCATCCATATACTATTACATATCAAATAAATTATGCATTAATAAATTCTCATCATAGTATTACGTTTAAAACAGAAGATAGAATTTATATAGATAAATTATTTACCCCTTTATTATCACTTGAATCACCAAATATGACTAATAATAGAATTTTTAATGAAACTAATTTTCAACCAATAATAACTACTCCGCTAATAAAAAGAAACTAAAATTTTATTTTCTAAAAACTAGTACTAATAAAAATTATTAATATGGAAACTTTACAAGAAAAAATAGATACATTAACTAAATTATTCGCAGCACTAGAAATTCCATCCGAAATTCAAGAAAATAACACAAAAATAGAAAATAATAACGATGCAGAAGTAATATATGATTTTTCATCCGATGATGAAAATCCTTATTCAAATCCATATAAAGAATCGCAAAATAATTTTGGATTAAAACGAAAACAATCATATGTTGAAGATGATTATCAAAGTCAATATATTTATGGACCACCTTCGTTAGAAGAAATTTTTTTATATAGACAAGGAATGGTAAAAAATAAACAAAACAAATGGGAAAAAATACCTCCACAATATATACCTAAACTATTTACTTTTCCAACAAATTCAGATATTCTTTTTATTGATTGTGAGCAAAATCCCGAAGCAAAAATTCAAGAATGGAGTAATAAAATGGGAATTCAAATTCAACTAACTGAAGAATTAAGAAATCTACATCCAAAAAAATTTCTTAATTATATTATACATAAAACACAGGGCAATGCATATCGTTTCCTTTCATCTCTCGATGAAACAGAGACGATGATGATAGTAACCACTGACGCTATGGAAACATTTAAAAATGTATTAAATCGGCTTATTCAAGAATTCGTAGGAAAACAAATAGAAGATAAACCATCTCAAGAAGCTTTTCAATTAGAATCATTATGGCATCTAACTAACTTACGAATTTGTAACATGTGTTATTTAGACCCATTTATATGCGAATATTCTGAACATTATTATAATCTAGATTTTACTAGAAAAAAGATAGCATTAGACATGTTTTACCAAAAATTACCATCATTAGTAAGTCAAAGCCTAATAAAAGATTTCCAAGAAGCATTACAACAAAATAAAATTGCAGATACCTTAGGAGCAAGGATAAGTATATTAAAAGCATGGATGCAAAAAAAATGTTTAGAACAAAAAACAACACAAGATGCAAGAATTGATTTATGCTGTGATACTTTATCTAATAAAGTTAATCAATATGGTTGTAAAGATAATAAAAAACAAAAATATAAAAAGAAAATTTGGAAAAAACAAACTTATAAACCTAAATAAGTAAATATAAACAATATTATAAACAAGGTGAAAGAAAATATTGTCGAGACAGAAAACAATATAAGAAAAAATATCAATCTAACACAAATTACCGTCCATCTAATAAAAAAGATTGTAAATGTTGGATATGCCAAGAAGACGGACACAAAGCCTACGAATGTCCAAAAAAGACAAAAAGAAAGAGAAACAAACTTATTAAAAATTACATATGATCTCGGGTATGAACCTATAGAAGATTCAGGAATACATATTTATGCATATACAACTGATACTGATTCTGATTCAGATAAATAGTCCTATGAAGAAAGCATTATTGGGAAAACTTCATCCAAAGTATACATTACTAAAGCATATATTGGTATGAAAATACCATCCGAAGTAAACAATGATAAAGTATACAGTGATATGAAGATATCACCAAAGCATTCATTGATATGAAAATTCTCATATCATCATTTAAAATATTAAAAGCAAACAAATATAAGCAATCATTCAGGTACCCAAAAGGCGCAAATATTCATTCAGCAGAAATATTGAAATGGAAGTCATCATGAAGCAAGTCAAACACCAGTTCAGACAAAAAGAGGAGCAAGAAGCATCATTAATCAGACAGCTTGAAGTAGTTAAACGTGAAAAAGAGCAACTACAACAAACAATACAAATTCTATCATCTTATTCAGCATTTAAAGAAGAAGCAGTCAGCAGCTCAACAACAAAGCAACCAAAAGAAGAAATTCAAGAAATATCATCCGATGAAAGTCAACCACAAATAGCACTTGAAACAGAAAAACAAACTATGACGCCAAACCAGGAGGAGTATCCACCACTACAAGCAGATCATAAAAATATAAAGCAATGGTACATAATTTTCAACGGAGAAAACAAAGGAGTATATGACGATTGGGAATCGCCAGTTCATATATTCTTGGAAAAAATATCATTCACAAAAGTTACAGAACGAAAAATGAAGCAGAAACCGCATACAACGAAGCATACAAAGCAGTAATAAAATATAACGTCGAATGTTCAAAAACAGTTCTCCTAACACCACAAAAACCTATATCCAGCTTCACACCACAAAAACTTGTATCCATCCCAAGATCCCTTAACCAATTAAATGCAAAAATTGCCCTTGAATCCATTCTATCAACCAAAGAAAAAGAAGCCATGAAAAAACCATCTACCAAAAAATTTGCCGAATTATGGGACAGCCTCATTTCATATATCGAAGTCCATTCCTTGATGGGCTTTTACCCAGTAGCCAGACGTCCAGGTCCTAAAGCAGTTTTCTTAGCCGACTTATCAAATCCTATGAATTTATGGGATTATTTTATTCATGGATTTATCGACACCATCTATCTAGAAGGCACCAATTTACACTGCATCAGCGAGTTCCCTTCTGTTGTGCAAACTATCATCAGAAATTATAAAATACGATTTGCAAAACAGGAAAGAGGATTATTCATTAAAATGCATTCTAGCTATCCAATTTTTTATGAAGACTCTCAACTAATTGTCCCAAGTATTACTTTCGCAAACATGGGAATAAACAACGGCTCAAAACCAACAAAAGATGATCTACCACGAGAATCACCAGCACAGGATCATCTAATTTTTACACTCGCCCGTGTTTGTTTAGCATCATCACACATAGACAACGATAAAGATCAAAAGTCAAGAATCAGAGTGAATTACGCCAGTAAAACTTTCATTATCTATTCGTTAATAGACAGTGAAATCACTCCGCAAGCGATGAAAGCAATTGAAACCTTCGAACAACCTTTCGAAAAGTTTTCTCTTCAATTAGCTGAATTACCTGATGATATAAAAAAACAACTTTGTAAACATATTATGCATGCACCAAGACACAATTGCAGTCACTGTTCAGAAAACAAAGAAGAAACACCATTCATGGAAGATTAACGATAAAAGAAAACATTATTCAAAAATATGTCTTTTTGGAGGTGGGAGGAATGAGAATGACGCAAGCAATGACGTAAAAAAACATTATTGAAGATACATGTCCTTTCAATGTGGAAGGGATTATTATATTTTTAATTATGTAAAGTGTCGGTAGAATTATTTGTATTTGTCGTTTGTATTAAAATAGTGTCGGTAGGATGTGATATAAAGTCTAGACTTTATATCACATCCTACCGACACTATTTTAATACAAACGACAAATACAAATAATTCTACCGACACTTTACATAATTAAAAATATAATAATCCCTTCCACATTGAAAGGACATGTATCTTCAATAATGTTTTTTTACGTCATTGCTTGCGTCATTCTCATTCCTCCCACCTCCAAAAAGACATATTTTTGAATAATGATCTTCTATGAATGGTGTTTCGTCCCCCCCCCCCCCCCCCCCCCCCGCGGCAACCCCTTAATAGCTCTGCCTTTGGTGATCGTCTTTTGCGAGGTAGACACTAACATACAACAAGTTTGAGTCATTCTTATTCATTATCGATTTGACGAATCAATGTTAGTGATAAGGGGTGAGTTATATCACTATAATTTTATTATTTTGATATGAAGCAACAACTTAACAACTATTATGAAGTTGCGCAAGAAGATGACAGTAGATTTGCTAACTTGAATAGTACGACCTTGGTAAGTGATTGTAGAAGCAAGAAAACATGTGTTATTACTTCGTCTATTAGAGATCCAAGAGATCCAGGAGGAATATAAGTTTGTGATTCTACTCAATCACTTTATTGCCGATCACAATTAGTTCACAAAAGAGATTATAATGTAATGAAAGTCTTGTAGTGTTTACATGTTAAAATTCTAAAATCAGCATATCATATCGCATCACGCACCCTAGTCCATTTGGCGGATAGTTGAATGTGAGGTTTGAAACTAATTGTCACGTTATTATGATATGAGATCATAATATAACTTCAAGTTGTAACAATCATTTTCCAAATCCTCTTATTGCAAAACTAACGTTACATAAAATTATTCAGGTTGGGTTCGAGTTCCATGGGTTAATATGAAAATGACATGGATGACCCGTATTAAATACTCTATTAACATAAAAGTTTAAACCCTTATTATGATGCATAAACGCCCTAATAAAATCCTTTATGGGTCAAATGTCAATAATTTGTTATTTATGCACCTCCATTTTCCAATAAATCAAATATTATTGTACTTTGGACAACTTAATTTAATATTCAAAACTTTATGTTATTACATTTCTTGATATTGTTCCAGTCTTGCCAATTTAAACAAGTTGATCAAGGTCGTGATTGATTCTAAGGGTTTTTTTGGATACTTGGATATAGCATGCCATACACTTGCGTATTTTAATTTATTAGAAATATTTCAATACATTATTTTAAAAGAAATATTCTACAACACATCCTTCAGAAAAATTAATACAAAAAAAATATTGTCAGTCATAAAAAAGATTGAAAATTTTATATAAACGTTATAATTTATACTTCATAAATAAAATGTCATTAAATATTTAATACAAACATTTAACTAGTGAGTAAATAAAAATTATTAAAACACAAATAACTTATATGCTCTAATAGCAATAAGTGATCAATAAAACAAAAAGTTAATAATAATAACCTATATAATAATATATAATAATTAATAAGTCTCCATTAAAGATGCTCAAAATGAGCATTTGACAATTACAAAACCACAAAACCGTCTTATAAAACTTCTTTTTGCAACTACTAATTTGAAGATGGCTTATAGTTTCAACACCATTTAACTGCACACTCTAGGGAACACAATGGAAAGTCAAATAAGAGCAAACTTATAAAAAGTTAAGACTTAATGGAGAAAATACTCGAGGGAAGAGAGTCTTATGTTCCGGATTTTCTCTATTAAGGCATTGTTTGATATGTCTCTTACTCAGTCAGATTCAAACTGTTTGATACCACAATTAGAAGCCTCTAATTAAGTCATATAGTTTTTGATATGCATTTTAGCAGGTCTGATAAGAGGTTGTGTCTAAATCAATCAGGCAGCCCTTAACTTGTTTGTTTTGCATTAAGTAAAAGAGAAACACCAATAATGAGCTTATAATTTACTGATTTAGTCTTGTTCTCATTAATGCAAAAAGAAACACCCATATATAGCTTACAATTTCAAATTGATAAAGAAGTTAATAGAAAGAAAGCATAATCTCAACAAAATGTAAAGAAAACTGGCACATATATGATGACATTGACGAAAATAACTCATGAAATTTGAAGTATCCCTAATAAAAATCGATATCTGTGTTTACAATTTACTTAGGCAGACTCACTGATACAGACTCTGTTCTTACTCTTTTCCCCCAATCTTTCGAAATTAATGGAAATGAACATGGACATTTTGATAATCTATGATCCTATTCGTTTTTCATGTTCAACAATTCAAGTAATTAACCAAAGCATGAAATGGAGTATTCAACATTCCAACTGCTAGAAGTCTAATTGATCATAAAACGTAAACATTATAAGCCTCATTTTCCAATTAAAAACAAATCTAAATCAACGGAGATAACCAGGAATCTTAATACGAAGAAAGAGCATACTCATCACATAGGCAATAACCACGAACGAGATCCCAGCACCAGCGAACGAGATCTTCAGACTCTTGGCACGATTCGGGGAGATCGCGAGGTCCATGAGTATAATTCCCATTCCGCCTAGCACAAACATGAAGCCGGAAGAAAGTCCTTCAATAATGTACTGCCCGTTGACTCTGCCGGACATGAAAACCACTGGTCGGACGGTGCCAGTACGCGGATCTTGAGTCGATCCGATGCCTGGAGGCTCGACGATGACATCGTAGACGACACCTGAGACAACCATGAAGTAAGTGAGGAGGACGAGGGAGAAGACAGTCATAGGGGAAGGGAGTGTTATGGTTGGGAGTTTGAGGCGGAGACGCGGTGGCCGGAGGAAGGAGAAAGGTAGGACGTTGAGAACATGGAAGAGTGGATCCATGGATGTCTCGGAGGAAAATCGGTTGGTTAGGGTTTGTGATTTAGGGGTTTGCCGTTTTGAAGTAGATATGCTGTTGGTGTAGAGTATAGACGGTAAAGAGTGTGAAATGACCGTGACGATATACAACGGTGGACTGCAACTAAATTAAGTTTTAAAATGATTTTAGGAAGCTAATAATGTTTTTCATTTTGTTCAAAATTTCCATTATTATTATTTTTTGTTTATTACTATTAAATTTCTTGAAATATAATAATAATAATAAACAGTGGAAACCGGAGTTTTTTTTTTTTTTTTTGAATGGCAAATATAAATATATATTAAACTACTCCTAAATTATTCAACCTATATCCAGAGTGGGACTTGAACCCGCAACCTCAAGGAGAGAAGGCAATATCGGATATCGTTGGACTAAAAGCCCTTTGGTAACGGGATTAATTCTATGAATTGGTGATTAAAGATAGATGAGGTTGAAGCAGAATCATTTGAAGTGAAGATTGCAACTCTAAAAAGAGAGTTGAACTTGTATAAGATGAAAATCGATCATGAGTTTTTGAGGTTTAGGTTGGAGGGAGCAGTGTCACACTCTTTCATTTTACCACACTCAATGAGTGGTACTCCATGGAAAGAAGAAAGAGAAAGAAAAGAGATATAGAGGGAGGGAGAGGAAGAGTGCGAGAGGATAGAGAGGAAGAGTGTGAGAGAGGGAGCGCTCCTGATTTTGGCCGCACACCCAAACCGTATAGGGGGCGGTGTTCAGTGTGGTTTCAAATGCCACATTAATTGAAACCGTACTCCACTCCTTCTGGTCTTAGAAAACAATTTGACCAAATAGTAGTAAGTTATTTATTTAGAAATGTTGTGTGTATTTTATTTTTATTTGGTATGTAGTAATGTTTTTGTTGAGCTAAAGCCCCCCTCCACCCCCTTTCCAAAAAAAAAAAAAAAAAAAAAAAAAAAAAAAAAAAAAAAAAAAAGATTATGTTTTTTTCCTTGGTTTTGAAAAAAATAAATATAGTTAATGGATTAATGTAGTTCACATCTACAAATGTAAACGATAAACAATATATGTAGTTCATTGAGAAATAACGTTCATTTATTAATGCACTTTATTGTTTTGGAAATTAAAAAACATGCGATCATGTTCTAACAAGTTATTAGGTTTGAGGATGTAGATGCGGTTTGCCACCTAACATCACCCCTACCTTACGATTTGGTCGTACCCGGCTAATTCTTTTCTCTCTCTCTCACTATATATATATATATATATATATATATATATATATATATATATATATATATATACACACACACACACACACTCATAGGCGGATCCAAGGGGTAGTCCGGGATACCCCTCAAAAAAAAATCGGTAATGTAATTTTTTTAGAAATTTTCGTTTTTTTAGTGTATATATATGCATCCCTTCACTTATAAACACAAACATATAGCTAGTTTATTGGTTAAGATGTTGGGTTATTGAAACAAATGTCTCAAGATCAATTCTTGCTTCCTACAAATCCTTTGTTTATATTTCTTTTATTTTTCCAGCTATTCTATTCTCTTTTAATTTCTAAGCTATTATATTCCACATCGCAAAACACATATAAACTTAGTTGTTTATATCATGATTCATTTTATATCAACTTTGAGTCCCACATTGATTCAAGTATCAAAAGATACTTCAACTTTATGTTTATATAAAAAGACTTAAAGTTAGCTAACGATTTTATTAAGGTTTGAGTTTAATACCAAAACCAAACGAGAAAATCCATGTACAAGCTGAAAACCATAACATCGAACTGATGGGTTTGAGTTTGGTTTGGTTTTAAAAGTTTCAAAATTGTGGCTGTCGGTTTTGGGTTCGATTTTAGGTCAAAACTGACCTGACCCGCCCTATGCTCAGTCGTTGCGGTGATACCGGGAAAAAAAATTGGGATACCCCTTTGCTTTGAGTCTGGCTCCGTCACTACACACACTAAGGTTACCACACCTACTGTGTGGCAAAGATCACACACTTTGTGTGGTAAAATTAACATGACACCTACATGGCAGAGGAGGGAGTGTGGCTCTTATAGCACCACACCCTCTAGCTAGGGGTGTCGAACGGGTAAAATATTTGGGTTTCAGGTAGAACGGGTATTTCCATAAGAAAATAATACCCAATACCCGGCCTATATTGTAATTCGGGTTTTCGGGTTTCGGGTATTCGGGTTTGAGGTCGGGTTGGGTAATTATCGGGTATACCCGAAAATTTCTTAAATGACACTTATTGATAATTTTTTTTCTTTATTTTTTTATTTTTACATGTTGGTTGGTTTAATAAAGAATCGGGTAGGAAAATACTCCATACAATTAACAAATACATATATAATAACAATACAAATCATTATAATATGTTATGTACTTTTTTAATTACATTCCATGCGATAGTGAGAACCGGAGAATTGTGATGACGGTTCAGGATTTCAGCTTCAACGTCGTATTCCCTTTGCAAGTTTGCGTCGAATGTCGAGCCGTCGTTCATAAGAAGGAAACGAAGGGTTTTGTTTTATTTGAAGTGTGTGTACGTGACTGCATTGTATATTTGGTATTATTTAAAAAATGAATTCGGGTATTCGGGTATACCCAAAAATAAATATTCATACCTAAAACCCGACCTATATTATTATCGGGTTAACCTATTACCCGAATGTTCATACCCGCTACCTGTTCTACCCGACCCATTCTACCCAAATTCGGAACGGGTCGGATGGGTAGAACGGGTTTCGGGTTTTTTCGACAGACCTACCTCCAGCGTTGTAAACAAAACAATAAAGGTCATAAAGTATTCAAAAGTAAAAAAAAAATGCAATCAAAATACCTAAATATACAATTCTTCCTTTACATATAAAAAAAGACCTATATAAGCACTCATTACTCCAGATCTATTTTTTTTTCACACCAATGCAACTCCCATCATTTGGGAACCATCTTCGTTAACCTTAGTTTAGTGATTCTCTCATAAATCTTCCTTTGCCTTATCTTAGTGTTTCACTTTCAGGCTTTACATGTGTTTCTTCATCTACAACATGTTTCTCCACATCTTGTTCTACCTTATTTTCTTTCGAAATTGGCCATTTTTGTAGTGGCATGTTCGTCTACATATGATGCATTTAGTAGTTGTCCTCGCTTTGCCAACAATATATCTACATTCTCTATATATATGATCTCTCTTTTTATTGATAAATAGTCTCCTTGTAATCTTCTATGTTTTGGGGTCAAAATAGTATTATAGTCAAGTATTGGCTATATATAATTGCCATTAATTGGGCTTGATTGTATTCAAATGGCATCTTCCAAATATTTTATGTTTGAACTACTATACAACATATTCCTTTGCATTCACATTCACATAGGAAATCACAACAATGGCATGCATAAATGGTATACATTTTAGCTTCCATACTCTCCACGTATAAGTTTTCATTTTCAATTCAACACCACAATCATGATGCAAAAGTCTTACTTTATATTTTTTTAACGGAGAAAATTTATTAAACTAGTAAAAAGCTAGAACAAACAATTACATGATAATAGAAGAGGGATTATAAAACCAAGTAGGCCACATTAACTTAGTTTTTTTACATCTATTTGAAATTCAAAAGAAAGTCTTATCAACTACATCATCAAAGAGCAAAGCTTTTTTAGGAATGGTCACTCCAAAAATGGTGGCATTTCTAAAATTCTAAATGCACCAAAATGTTGTCAAAACCACTGCATCGAAAATCTTATGTTGACTAGCCCTCAACGTCACTGTATCGAACCAAGAGAGAAAAGAATGAATAGTAATTTGATCTGTGAGACTTAGACCCCATCAAATAGCAATATGTCTCTAAATATCCATCAAATCAGAACATCCCGCAAAAAGATGATGAATCGTCTCCACCGAACATGAACATATAGGATACATGATCGTCTCTACAAAATACCTCTAGACGAAAGTCTCCCTCGTAGGAATACTCTGAAGTTGCAGCCTCCATATTAGAATATTGAATTTAATAGGAACCCGATTATCCCATCTTGTAGCCATATCTCTTAGTAATCAGCCCATTGCCAATAAAAGAACGAGCTGAAGAAACTGAAAAAAATCAGAGATATCAAGAGACCATCCCAATATATCCGGAACACTCTGAAGCCTGACATCCTACACCAGAGAAGGTAATCCACTAGGTCTCCTTAACACCACCTCTAATCATTCGTCTGAAATGGCACATATCCCACCCAATATTTATCTGGTCTACTGTAGGTGTAAGGTGATTATCCAAAGCAAACAACCTGAGAGACATATTAACAAGTTCCAAAGAGAAGTCTTAGTTCATATTGATGCAATCCACTAGGATTTACTCCCCAATACTTATGTTGTTGCTTCATTTTTCAATACTCCTTCTAACTGAGAGACATATTAACAAGTTCCAAATATTTCTCTTCTTTTTTATGATGCATCGTATCCATCACATACATCCATATTTCCCCCAACTTTGTTATAGTAGGTTTCTTCCTAGCATAACAATCTCCTCTTCAAAATAAGCCTTACACCATGTTTTTACGATGCCTTTCTATCAACTGCTCATAAGCATCTGTGTCTATCAACATATTTTGATTCATTATAGCTTCAAAATGTTTGTCTAATTGAGGCTTTTGCAGTTATCCAGAAAAGCTTTCTATATTCAACACCTATGAATCTTTTCTTAAAGTTGTCATAGACAATCCTAACAAATTTTATTTGCCCACGTTTTAATAATTCTTTCCTAATTGCCTCAGTTGGACCTTACACATACTTTTTAGATTATAAAAGTATGTATATTATAATAAATAAAAACTACTAGGTTGTAATTAGAACACACGTTATGCTTACTAGGTTATAATTAGAACACACCTTGCGCTTGTATGAAATTATTATTAGTCCCCTTTCATTTTCCATCTCAACGTCTTCAAGTAGGAGGTCTAACAATGGCGATTGCGGATGATATTAGCGTGCTTACGTTTAATTGGATTAAGAATGGATCTAAATTTAATGCTCTTAACCCGTATATGTGGTGTAATTCTATTTTATCTTGTTTTTCATGAACTTTGTCTTAAGCGCCTTGCTTAAGCTTTT